TTTCAGCATCTTTTGAATGTGAGGCATCGAGGTAGAGATGCCTGTTTCGTTTCAAAAAAGCTTATTGGAGCCGTTTTCGAAAGAAACTGGTGGTAACATGTTCATTACGGGAAGGCAAACCAAACTAAACTATACTAAACTAAGAAAGTTAGCGAAATGCACCCATTTGCGTACCAATTTGATGTTAACTAGAATCCGTTGGTTACCATCCCGTCAGCGTTTATCTTCAACCGCTTCCATAGTTCGGTTATTACCTTATCCTAAGACAAACAATGCAAGCGCATCCTCACTCACAACGTAAACTTATATATATGTGGAACAACGACAGCAGGAGACAGACGCTCGTCGCTCCCCACAGCGCCTTGACCAGAGTCAGTTCAAACCTAAGTATGACTCACTGTCCGGGAGAAGTCTGGGCTCGTCGTCTGGATTAAACGGCAAGAAACAGCCAGATTTCAACACGCTCCGTCAAGTCCAGCATTCACTTCAGCTGCGTCCTACAAAACTCGGCTTCATCTAATACAACTTATCAAACGAAGAACTCGATAAGTGCCTTTCTTTTTTGTGTATTATTCAATTGTACTAGTGAAAAAGGAAGGCCTTCGCTGCGGAGTTATTAACTAGAAAATGCCAACTGACCGATTACAGACTACTGGACGGGGAAGCAAAACTCATTTGCATCTTATTTAACAAAAACTGACCACCCATCTTCTCTTGAACGCGTCTTCCTGAACTTTCCTGGATATTCACTAACTGTTGCTCAGGTCCAAGCAAATGCTACAAACTGACTTCACCAATTCTGCTACAGATGTCACTTTTCAACAGATGCAAAACGAATTTACAAGAAGAAACCGTACTACTCGGATTCCTCCCCATCAGTAGTATCACCGTTACACTAGTATCTCCGGTAACCACCATACCTAACTGCTTATTGTTAGTGTCATTCACCTTCTGACCAGTCTTAAGTTGGAGGGAATGCTAGCGATTCGGGTTAAGTAGTTGAGTAATTTCGTTACATACTTTTGCTTGCTAACCAAAGTGATATCTTCGGTACGGTGCAGGGTACTGCAATGGCATGTTGCAGTAGTCGGTAAGATTGGGCTGAGTAGTGATATACACATATTTGTGAACTCATGTGTGACCTTGATGCCACAACGGTTTGACTTTCAACTAGTCGTTCCGGTTTGCAGAAAAAATCATTCAGCTGTAGCACACTTTCGGTGCCTAGCTGCCGTGCTACACGGAGGAGGCACGAGGGCTGGGATACTGCCAGGTTGCCCAAGCCTACACCGGGGAAGTCGAGAGGCAGAGGTCGGGTTTAAACCACGGACCTTCCGGTCAGTAAATTCGCGCTCTAACCACTTGGTTCAACTCGCACCCCCCCTGTCTGCAGATGCGCTGGATGGCTCCTTAGATTATGTTTTGATAGGTTTATACCTGGGTGATCTTAAACTTGGCCATCTAAGAGCGGTATGATCTTTCGACGAACCACGTGGTGTTTCATCCGGTGAGTTGGCTCCAGATCAATTCTGCTTCATGTTCTATAGGTGGAACAATTGTCCATATTTGATTAGAGGCATGTCACCTAGGAGGTGTAGAAGCCTGGTCCATTTTGATGTGCTCGCTAATCGAAGGGCTATAAAGGACAAACCATCAAGGACTTTGCTTGCTTTTTATAAATCTCCGCGAGCCAAGACTTTTAAGTTTATCCAACCAAATTGAGGGTTGTTCCAATCCTTCTCGTTCAGGAAGCGCCTCCCGATTTCCGCTTTGTATTCTTTCTCCTACACAGTTTGAATGTAACTCTCATTGTTTCACTAGAGAGTTATGCACTAGCGTTTACCTTTTCCTGATGGACGCAATTTTCGTGAGTATAGTCTAGATCCCTGTTCACTTACGTCCCAAAAATAGTACTATGTTGTTCCTCTAAAGTTACCTGGAAGTTATGGGTAGCTACTAAAGGAGTCGCTTCACTCCAGTAAAACAACATCGTTCTGGAAACTGACCCATTGCTGCCCGACTTTCACTCCATTTCAGTTTTCGGACGTCATCAAGCAATCGAACCATGTTATAAATTGACGAAATTTGCTGTGACCCTCCCTGGTGAAAATGCCCCTGAGCTGGGCAAAACCTCACCATCAGCTTATCACTTTGTCTTTATCAAGGTCGGCCGAGTTTCCGCCCGAGTTTCCGTCAATCTTATGTTCTACTGGAACCCAAACTGCACGAAATTAGCGATACATACCCGTTTGCAAACACATTTGTTTGCACAGTAATCACTTTGTGACAGTCAATCGCAATGCTCAGTTTCGCGCTACGCATTAGTATTTCCAATTTATCATTTTCCACAGGTAATATCGTTGTGACCCCAAGAGAGAACTTATTCGGGAATTCGAAAGGCTTTCGTCCTGAAGGACTGCTTGCTAGCTGAATGGAAAAACAACTCCCTTACTCATCTAAATCGGTCATACACGGACAAGATAACTTCAGCGAATGGAAAGACAAACAGGGCCAAAGCGTGCGTGGGCGTCACCCAATCAGAGTGCAGGCTAGCGACCTCAGGCCAGAGAGCCAATCGCAATCGGCCCGACTGATTGTGCACTGCACAGCTTCGATTAACAGCAGCGTATGGGAACGCCGCCTGGGTCGGCAACACGTCATTGTGCAACCTGGCTCAAATCAACGACAAAAACGGGTAGTCCTCTGCAAATTGACTTTATTTGAGCGACAGACTCAACTGAATTCCGGCTTAATCTCTCATTTATGATATATTCACTCGAATGTGCAGCAAAGACGCCGCCTGGTTTCCGTTGGACGATACCCAAGTCCTTGTTTCTATTGTATTGCAAGTTCGAACTTGCAGAAACCACATCCGGTGTCTTCTGGTGGAAACGCCTTTTATGGTATAACAAACATAGCGTGTTTTAGGTCGCAATATGTTGCTACGGTTATTTTGGCTTCCTCAGGTGTTTGCGTCACAATTTCTTTTCAAATTTTAGGACCAGTTTCAGCTATTCCTTGCTACGTCTGGATGTCTTTGTTAGATCTGTCGATATCAGCCACACACTCTCTAGGCTGAGTGTTTCCAGATTGTGATGCCACAATTCACTGTGTATCATTCTGATGGGATGTCACTATTTGTGGATAGGACTAGTAACAACAGCTGCTTCAAGGGCGTGCTATGGACCCAAATGCCATTTCATACCAGTCCAACGTAGACGTTCACAAAACGGAAGGGTGTGGATACAAATTCAACAACCGTATCAACGACACCATCCCAGATGTTGTCATGGCGACGTATCAAAACATCCGGTGATCTTTTCAACTTGATGCGACAGGTAGTGACATACATTCAGGAATGCCTGGCAGTTTCACGCATGGAATATTNAGGAATTCCTGCAGTTTCACTCATGGAATATTTTGAGATAAATTTGAAAGAATGACGTGGCTTCCCAATTCACACCAATCTTTCCGAAATGCACAGACTATTGGCACTGACAAGTATCTTCCAATGGACTTTTTGTGTGCGTAGCACAGGGGGAAACCGGAAGTTTGGTCAGTGGTTTGAAAATTTGAGATTTCCTGGGCCACATCTGCAGTGGGAATAACGCTGGTTGTTGTAGGTGTCATGCTGTGACATTGGGATCAGTAAGAGTGGAATAAAATGGTCAGCGGAAAGACGTTCGATCAAATGTGTCAGTTTGGTATCCAGGGTCGTAGAGCTTGATGTGAAGAGATCACGCCAAACAGACTATTTTGAATTTCTCTTCATTGTGCATGCAACAAGGGCATTGCCTAGAAGAATCCATGAACATTGCTCAGTTTGGTCCACCTGAACAAAGCCATCAGCATGCAGCTGAGGAGTTATTCCCTACCGTAGCTTTTCTAGCAATGTATCGAGTCTGGGCAAAAAAGTAGACGTTCATCATCATTGTCAGCTGTAATAACCGCTTACTCGTCGTACTGTGGTTGTAGCTGCTGCAGTTTCGTTGGGGGGTAGGCAGCTGTGCATTGCAAGCGGGAGCTGATAAATTGGTGCATAAATCCAGCACTGTCACTCGGCTGTCAAGTGGGGGGAATGGGAAGGGAAGTATGAATTGAAGGCAATAGCTGGGATGCACGAGCGCCATTGAGGGTGCGACTGGGCCATGTCTGACAATGTCTCTAGCCATTGATGTGGCCCGTCTCGGTATCTCCATCCAGGAAGATGGCAGTGACCAGCGCAGCTGAGTTTGCTGGTAATCGCTTTCACAATTCGCTGCCAAGCCATTGCTTGACTGCCTCTGGCTCTCTTCCATCCTTCACGTGGTTGTGCAAAAATAGTCCTTCGAGGAAGTCGGTCGACTGGCATATGCAACCCGTGACCAAGCCAGCGAAACCTATGCAGCGTGAGCAGTTCATCTATTGATGGTGAGCTATTTCTCGAGCTATTTCTCCCGAATACCATTCGATGTAATTCAGAATTGCTGATCCGGTGTTCCCACCAGATTCGGGCAATGCTCCGAAGACATCGATGGTCAAACACTGAAAGTTTTTTGACGTCCTCGGCGCGCCGAGGACAGGGTTCTGATCCATATAGTAATATGGAGCGCACCGCAGCATTGTAAACTCGACCCTTGACAGAGAAGCTGGTGTCACGCAGTAGTCGTTCAAATTAAATCAACTGCAAAATTTGCTTTGGCGATTTCTGTCTTGGACTACAGCACGGAAAATCTCTCAGGTGGGCACTGACGATAAGGTGATGAGCGACGGCTGCCGCGATTATGAATTGATTCGCATGGAACTTTCAGTTTTTCATTCCTCTCTAGTAGACATTCCTCAACTTGGTCGCTTCCATCCATTCTAAATGAACTTCTCGCTTGGTTACTCCATTGGCCTGCATTTTGCTGAGGACCGCAAGCAGTACATGGCTACCAGCTCACATTTTACGCTACACTCACCTGAATATTATTTTGGTTTTCACAAGAGACCTACCTGGAACCCAACTGAATTCTTCGGTGATGATGTTCATCTCCAATCCAACGTCGACGGCCATCCGGGAACTCCTCCCCTCCCACATCTCTCGGATGAGTCCGAAAAAAGGCGAAACCGGTTGTTGGCTGCTGAAGAGTTTTCAGCAACCCTGTGAGTAGTGTATTACGTCCATACATGTATCGCGATATCTCGGATTGGGCGGCCGAATGCAGCACACTCCGATGCTTAAGAAAATCACAAAAGGGAAACTCAGCTAGGTTCCATGCGAATCTCCGGTTGAAACCAATTCTCTATGCAGATGAGTGTATAAGTTGGATTTCAATAGGAACTTTAGGGGACTGGGCCTACCTGATAATGGCAGACAAAACCGGCCGTGGGCTGCTTTCAGCAACCTTATGGCTAAAGTAACATTTCCATAAATACTGTATAAACGTACTTGTATTCACAGAATCTTGGCCGCACCAAGTATCGTTAGCAAAGGGTGCGCTTTGTGGAAATTTCAGTCGGCCAGATGCGATACACTAAAGCGGTAGGCACTCTAAGTTCAAACAATAGCAACCATTTTGCTATTCGGCACATACGGACACCAAAAGAAAGTTAATTTAAGCCGAGCATTAGCCTCTTCTTGATGTAACACCAAACAATCCCCCCAAAAAATGAGCGTCTTACCTATCTACCCTACTTTGTAATGACTGAACCAGGAGACAGGTAAGATACCCCGATTTGGTATCTATGGTGCATTTAACTAGCTTTTACAAGAAAAGCCGTTATGAAGGGTCTTTTGAGGTAACTCTGTATGGGTTTTGTCGTCTTGATACTACTCAGGACAAGTGTATAGTTTACAACTTCACGTCAACCAAACGCTAGTTCGAATCGACCGAATTCAGCCTTTTTTTCAATTCCACGTCATGACCAGTGCTTGACGAGGATAACTCTTCAATCGTAGCCTGATATTTGATTCTATAAACCTTGACAGAGCTATATATATATATATATCCGTTTTTCACCATTCAATTAATTCTGTCAGTCCCCAGTAGAATACGTTGATCGCCCAGCGTGAGAACACAAGAAATTAAAGATAGACTCCAACCGCACCCCCAAGTCTGTCTGAGAGAAAGTGATGTGGTAGATTCTGGTCTTCCCAGTTCATGATCTTCTGAAAACACTCGAATGTAGGAAGTGTGAAGAGAGTTAGGAATATTTTGGAGGTTTCGTTCACTGAGTGGAGCATATCCACGCTGAAAAGCTGAGAAGCACTGTACAGCTGTTTCATCCTTGTTGGGAATCATCAGCAGTGAGCATCTCACCAATCTCCGGAGAGTCTCGAACACG